CAGTGTCTTATGAATTCAGCATCCTGCACTTTGAAATAGCGGTGGGTTGCTTTAACTTGTTCAGCAAGCTTTAAACCGCCATTTTGAAGCACAGGGATGGATGCTGTGAATACATGTGATGCTGAGGCTGCTGGATCATACTAATTATCTGCTCCAATGTGCTCTATTTAGAATACATCAGAGCAGACGTTGGGCATGTGTACAGGTTTCCTTAGGGCCCCATCTAGACATCCAGGTAAAGGTGTAATAGGGTCCGATGCATGATCCACCCAATTGCATCTCCTGCCATGCCCCATGTGCATGGCAGGAGGCATGATTGTGAGATCCAGCATCAGATCCTATTATACCTTATCGCAAGTACAAGGGGAGCCTGGGATTGCTGTCATGGACTCCCTCTGCACCAGCAAGTAGCAACCTCCTATAGACAATGAGTCTTGTAGCTGTGCCCTGCAACTGCTGGGACTTTTCCAGGCTTGATCCTCCCGCCACCCACCCGGCTGGGGCCCCACTCAACTTACCCCTGCTCCTGCCTCTGCAGCACTCTGTCCCTTACCATGGGGGCCTCAATCGGGCCCCTGTCCCTTTCCTCCCTCATGGACTGTCCTGGTGGGCTGGGGGCCCTCCACTCCACCCTCAGATTGACTCCAGATCTACCATGATTGAGATAGACCCGCTGGTGACCACTGTTATCTACATAGATTTGTGGATATCATGTCTACAGAATTTGCCACAGAAAGGTGCTCAGGGATTTCAGGTTTTATTTTCAATAATGTATATTTCTAGCCTTGATCGTCTTGAAGATCAAAATCATAAACTGAACAGATTGATGCCTATTTTGCATTACTGATTTCTCAATGGTCATTTCTCACACACACACACACACACACACACACACACACACACACTCATCATTAACTCTGAAAGCATCAAAATGAGTAAGGACAAATTAATGTACAAGGATCTATATATTTAGTGATTTCAAAACCAATAGTTGCATGTACGAGTCCATAGCCCAGCCCCAGCCCCCGTCCAGGGGCTGTGCCGTACTATTCCCAGGGGGTGCCTCTGAAACATTCAACATTTCTGAAATGTTTCAAATGGTTTCGTTTCATTTTGGAGATGTTTTGGAGCCTTCCATTTCATTTCAGATTCGGTGTTTCAGGCACCAAAATGGGCCGAAAGACCTCCAAAATGAAACAGCTGCTGAAATTTCACACAGCCCAGTATAAATCTACCATGTCAGATTTACAACCCCTCTGGTGGCTTAATATCAAGTGCTGGCAGGAATCTAACATAATAAAATCACTTGCTGAGCAAAGCATATACAATATGGGGAAGGAGGAGAGAGGCAGAGAGATGGACAGAACCCTGGTAAACATCACCTGACTAAGCAAGTTTTCAGTCTCCAGTGCTGCTGATAGTATCTTTTGCTCCAAACAATGAAGATGTGGTTTGGACAATTTTTCATTTTAGATGTGTTGATCATAATTGAACTAGACTCAGTGCACATGCACAGAGCCATAATAGATGTAGCAGCTTAAATATGCCCTTTGCTATTAGTTGACTTGATTTGAGGAATTTTTCCTTTACACTGTGCTCATTTATAACTTGCTTGATTTTGATTCCTTTTATATGCTCACTGACCTGGATATCTATTCTTCTCTTGCAATTATTTATTATACTTTCCCTTCTCAGTTAATCTCATAACATTCCATCTTTGTTTTAGGTATGCAGATATTATTCCTGATGGCATTCTCCCTCCTCAATTTTTATTCCCTTCAATTAATTTCCCCAAGACATTGAATAGATATACCTGAAGGGCCAAATTTTGTCATCAATTACAAGATCCATTACATTGATTACTTATGTCAATATAGCTCCATGGACGAGTTCACCCAAACATGTTTAAAAATTCTTCATCTGTCACTCAGACATTCAGACTGAATATTATCTTCTTAAATTTGCCAAACAGCTTAAAATAGTTAATTTAGCATGAAATTCTCTAGCATTTTGACATGTTTCATCTTTGAAATATTCTTAAACTCCTGCTTCTCTGTTAAACCTGGACTGTGGGCATTAGGACTATGCGAAATTTCAGCAACTGTTTCATTTCGGAGGTCTTTCGGCCCATTTTGGTGCCTCAAACACTGAATCTGAAATTAAACGGAAGGCTCCAAAACATCTCTGAAATTAAATGAAAACATTTGAAACATTTCAGAAATGTTTTGGATGTTTCAGAGGCACCCCCCGGGAATAGTACAGCACAGCCCCTGGATGGAGGCTGGGGCTGGGCAGGATATCCATGGGGGCTTCTGTGGCTCCTGCCGCCAGGGCAGAGGCAGGAACAGCCAGAGTAGCTATGGGAGAAGCCTCCATGGCTGCCCTACCCGGCCCCCTCCCCCACCCGGCCCCAGCCTCCTGGCATTTTAAAAGGAGGGCTGTGGGGCTGTGCTAGACTATTCCTGGGGGGCCTCTGAGACATCTGGAACATTTCCAAAACATTTTGGATGGTTTCGTTTCATTTCATTTCATTTCAGAGATGTTTCGGACCCTTCCATTTCATTTTGGCTTGGCAGGGTGCTGCATGCTGGGAGCTGGGGCTGAGCACTGCCGGGTTCCAGCTGACTGCTGGAGCTTCCCCAGCTCCCAGACAGTGTGCAGTGCCCTGCTGAGCTGCACTGCAGCCACGCAACGCAACAGCTGCCACATGGGTGCTAGGAGGGGAGACCAATCCTTGCTGCCCTCCACTGCCCTGCATTGCATGGTGGGGCTCTGCCACAAGCCCTCAGAGGCCTTGATTGCCGCTGCTGCAGCCAGTCAGCATGGGACTTTTATTTATTTATTTTTTTTTTAAGTGCCAGAAAGCTGGGGCCAGGCGGGGGGATGGAGCCAGGCAGGGCAGTCATGGGGGCTACTCCTTTGGCTCTCCCCACTGGGGAGAGGCAGACACAGCTGGAGGAGCCATGGGAGAACCTGCAGCCACCCAGCTGTGCCCGCCTCTCCTCAGCCGATCTGAATCTCCAAAACAGCATTGAAACTCTGAAACAGATTTGGCTGAATTGAAATGGAACACTGATCTGAAACAGCAAAACAAATCATTGTCCTCTGAAATGGCTGAATCTGAAATGAAAGATAGCCATTTTACATAGCCCTAGAAGGCATCCCTTAAGGAAGCTATGAAATGGGACGGGCTCTACTGGTAGCTATGGAAAGGAGACAACTTGACTTCTGCAGACCTTTAATCCCCACACAAGTTGGTGGGGTCCCATTAAGAATCTGGTAACCAGTAAGATGGCAGTGGTGGGGCAGATGGCAGTGCTTCTTTCAACAGTGGAAATGATTAAGGGAAGTGTGATGACTCACTGGATAGCTCCCAGACAAATTACTCTCTAGTTAAACTGCATCCCTTCCATTTCAGCTTCCTTATGTTTCTGGGACACCAGTACTCTGCCAGTCACTTTGGGAAACTTCAGTAAAGTCTGTCTGCTTGAGTAGCTTGTCTCTCACCCTGCACTTATAGCATCAGGAATATTTTCTCTGTGATCAGTGAGATTCCTCTAGTTTGTCTTTTTAAGATGAATCCATGATAAGGCCATAATAGACTCCTGAATTATTCCTTTGAAATATTCCTTGTAGGTTCTGAGCACCCTCAATACTGTAGGATTATGTCCTAGTACCGTGTTATGTAAGGACTGGTAGCTGGAAACAGTAAAAAAAAATTGCAAATGGACCCGGTTTCCCCCTGGCACTTATATTTTGTTAGCAAATAGCTGTAAGTTTTGACTGGGTGCAGTTTCTTTTACTCTTATTGTTACCCCTTTCAACATAATTGATAACTGAACTCCCTTTTCTACCCTATACTGCACAAGCATTTTGAGAATACAGATTTAGAATAATTTAGACAAGAAAACTGTACTGTGTAATTTGACCCACACTACTGCAGAAACCAATTCCAGCAAGATACAGACTAATTTCTTTAGTATCTACTAAGAATGTATATCCTGAAGTCCTATGCAAAACACTCAAAGAATGAAAGAGAAACAAAAGTGTTTAGGAATATTTAAAAAAGGAAAATGTTTATTATTTTCTATTATCTCTTGAGTTTGAGGAGTTTGAATTTTTTCTCTATAAGACAAAGATGGTATGAAGGAAGGTACACAGTCAATGTTACATGTGCCCCTTTAGAAGATGATTGAGGAATGATTTCAGTGAAGCTCTGCTCTCTGCATGATGCATTTACAAGACACGAACCTTTCCATATTGTAGAAAAGAACTGTATATTATGAAATGTGTTTCTTGAGAAACAGCATACAGTCTGAAATTAAGCAGTGTGTGATAATACTTCTGCAGCAAAGGGTAGAATTAAAAGTGTTCATGCAATGTTAGCGTACTTTCATTTTTTTAGTGATTTGCTATGAAACTTTAATGTGATATTAAGTAAGCTTTTTGGTAGAATTTCTTTGCATTTTTTAAAGCCAGAGTCAAAAGGGGATTGGACAAATTCTTGGAGGAAAGGGGCATTGGGAGCTATTGAACTCAAGAGTTAGGGATATAGTCTCTGAATTAGAACTTCCTAGACTTTAAATGCTGGAGGCTGCAAGTGAGAAAGGAACAGTGGAAAAAACCTAGTTCACGCTCTTTTTTAGCATCCACTTTTTGTCACTGTGAGACACAAGGATCTTGGGCTAGATGAACTTATGGTCTGACCCGGTAATCACAAATCTTATGTTCTTAAATTAAAAGAAAATACAGAAGCGGCTAGAAATAGATTGGAATGCCTTATTTCCTGAACCATACCAAATCTTCTGCATCTCTAGAACACTGCTTCTGTTCTAATCCTGATAAATACTCATAAAAATTGTGGAACTGTGAAGAACTTACTGTGCTGCCTCCCTGGAAGGCAGCCTCACTCCAAAAATGTCACCTGAGAAATATTGAGAAAAAAAGAAAAATGATACAGAATACTTTTATATATTGTATATGAACCACATGAAACTTACATCTTTGCCAATTAGGTCTTCCTGGTTTTCCACAATACCCCAGGGGGCTATACCAATAGTGCATATCTTCCCTCGAGATTTTGAGGCATGATCTTTTAACGCATCTCCAACGTGCCGAATGACGCCTGAAAAAAAAAAGGGATAAATATAAAACGTCAAAAAAGTATTTTGGTCATGAAGAACTAGAATCAGGAGAGTATTGAACTCTCTGTTAAAAGCATGCTAGCAATCCCACTGCTGTTCAACAAAGCACTGAAACATATGCCTAAAGCTGAACAGGTCCTTAAGTGTTTTGCTTAACTTCAGACATAATAAAGTAAAATAGAGAGACACTTTCAGTACTTTGGTAATTCAGTGCATTTTACCCACATTCTTACTGAATAAAATCACATAGTTCTAAGAAGGAAAATTATATTGGCAAACAACTTTTGTCCTCGCTCATATCTAACTATATTCTGTCCATGTCCTGGCAAAGTTCTTTGGGTAGATGTGATATATTTTATTAGACCAACTAAATAGTTGGAAAAAAAGTTCTTTGCAAACTTTCAAAGTAATTTCGTTTATAGGAAGACGTTAAACTCTCATGGGAGTAGTCAGGCATACACCATGTGTGCCACCCTGCACTTTAACATGCTAGGTGTAACATCACAGCTTTTCTTCATACACCACCAGCTCTAACCGCAAACACTTAACTGGCGATCATGTTATGTAGAATGGACTATGTACCACAGTTAGGCTATACTGGCCACATCTACATGAGTGGGGGACTGTGCAGTTGTTACTGCACAGTTGTTACTGCAGACTGTACAATTGTTACTGCATAGTCATTTAGTACTTGTGCAGTAACGACAAAATTTAGTACTACGCATCAGCAAGTACTAAATGACTGTGCAGAAACCGGACTTCCTGTGTAGTACCATTGCCGCACTTTTTTTTCCAACACTACTACACAGTAGCAATAAGCTACTGCACAGTAGGTCATTACTACTGTGCAGTAGCATCGCCACATTGTTAGTGCCCGGCAACACTATTGCACAAAAGCAATGAGCTAGTGCTCAGTAGCTTGTTGCTACTGTGTTATCCTCAAAAGACCAAGGAGTTAAATTTATAGAATGATAAAGCTTGTTTATTCAGAGAGCCTTCTTAGTTTACTGATCTGCTATTCCCTCCTACAATCCCCAGGCCAATGTAACAACTCATACATAACACTGTTAAAGGTATCCGCACATCTTCCCCCTTTACATGTAACATATCCCCATGTAATACTAACACTGGAATATTAGTTCAATCCATTGTTAAACCACATTTTAACAGGTCTCTATTAGTCATTGTGTTGGCTTTTTAGCTCTAAGTGATCTTCTCAGGTTCTGTGAATTCTCAGTCCTTGTTGGTTCAGTTCATGTTCCATTTCCTTGTTCAGATGTCTCTACTTCTGTGTCATTTTCAATCTCCTCTGTTGTTTCTTGTTGCTTTGTTGTTAGCTCTGTTTCCTTTGGTGAATCTTGTGCTGTTGCTTCTTTTCTTCCCTTTATGAGCTGCAAGTGTTATCTGTTTCTTCTTAATACCTGTCCTTCCAGTGTGACTGACTACTTGATAGGATCTGGGAGCTACTTGATGGGAAACTAGGATTTTTTTGTTTCCATATTCATCCATCTGAAATAAGCACCATATCTTTGTTGTGCAGTTGTGGTAACTTCCTGGAACCCCTGTCATAGTACCATTTTTGTTTGAGTTTGTCAATTTTTTAAAATGTTTTCATATTTTGTTTTTCATTCTGATGAGCCCCATCCACAAGATTTTGAAGCCTGGTTTTGAGTTTCCTGTTAAATAGCATTTCTGCTGGGGACAATCCATGTTTCGTGGGTGTAGCCCTGTAATTTAAGAGTGACAGGTAAACATCAGTGTGTGAATCTGTAGCTTTTTTCAACAATTTCTTCATTATTTGTACTCTATTTTTCCACCAGATCATTGGATTGTGGGAATTTAGGACTTGAAGTGTTGTGACAGACTCCATATTTGTTTGCAAACTCTTTAAAATCAAGACAGTTGAACTGAATTGTGGTCCATTGTCTGTTCTCACAATTTGTGGAATCCCATGTCTAGCAAAAATTGATTTGATATGAGTTATGACATGCTTTGCTGTTGTACTTTTGAGCAGTGCCATTTCAGGATAGTGAGAATAATTATCTAGCACTAATACATAATTTTTTCCTGCATGCATGAATAAGTTAAAGTCCGCTTGATACCATGGAACTATGGGATCCTCCATGACCATCATGGGACCTTTTCTTTGTGCTGATCTGTACTTTAGGCATGCTGTACAAGCCTTTACAACATCTTTTATGTCATTATTTATGTTGGTCCAATATAAAGCACTCCTTGCTCTCTTTTTGCATTTTTCAATGCCTGGATGCCCAAGTATTCTGTATAAAATGCCTTTCTTTGGCACTGCTGGAAAAAGTCATAAGCCTTTGAAGAAAATGCCATCCACTACTAACAGCTCTTCCCTAAACTGAGAATAGGGGCTAGCTATATGTTTTCCAGGCCAACCAGCACAAATGACTGTTATCACTTTTTCGTTGTGGTATCCTGAGCAGTAGCTTCTGCAATTAGCACTCACATTGTATCTGTGACAGGAATCACTCTTTTAATTAGATTAACCTGTACTATGTCTGAGTCTGGAATTCTGGCATTTTCCATTATGTCATATGCTCTGGACAACATACCCGCAATAGGGAGATGTTTTCCTGGCGTGTACTGTATGTCTAGATCATACATTTACAGTTGAAATAAAAGTCTCTGTAACCTGGGTGGCATATCTAATAACTCTTTCTTTGCAATAGTTACCAAAAGTTTTATGATCAGTTGCAGCTATCACAGGTTCCCCATGGATGAATATGTGAAATTTCTTAGAGCCATATTCTAGAGCTAAACTTTCTCTCTCAATTTGTGCATATAGACACTCTGACTTGGAGAGTGCCCTAGATGCACATGATACTGGTTTCTAGCTATCCCCATGTTTTTCAAGTAACACTGCTCCAATGCCTTCTTTAAAAGCATCTGCTGACAATGTAATGGGTCTTTTAGGGTCATAGTATTTTAGTGCCAGAGCTTTCATTATTTTTTCCTTCAAGTTTTTTAATTCAGTTTTGTGTTCATGCTCCCATATCCACTGAGCATTCTTCTGTAGGAGTGATCTAAGGTGTTTGGTCTCCTCTGCTAAGTTAGATAGCTGTTTTCCTATAAAATTGATCATCCCCAGTAATCTTTGCACTCCTTCCTTAGGAGTGGGGGGGCATGTTTGTAATGGCTTCAACCCTTGCAGGATTGATTTGCACCCCTTCTCAGAGAGCTTTTCTCTCAGATATGTTATTTCTTTGACCCTGAATTTGCATTTGTGTTTGTTCAGTTTCAAACCTGCTCTATGAGCTCTTTCTAATACCTTTCATAGCCTCAAGTTAAGCCACAGTATTTCCCCAAACTACTACATAATTAATATTAAACAATTCCATCAAGACCTTCAAAAATGTGTTGCACCTTTCTGTGAAACACTTCAGATGCAGAACACAGTCCAAAAGGAAGCCTATGAAAGCAATACCTTCCAAAGGGCATATTGAAGGTACATATTCTAGTACTATTGTTTTTTTGGGGAACTTGACAAAACCCGGAAGAGGCAGCCAAAGTGGAAAAAATATTTAGCTTCTGCCACATTGTCAAAAGCCTCTTCCCTAGTCGGAATGGGAAAATGCTCCCATTTTGGTGTATCTGTTCTTTTGCTTAGGATACAGACACAATCTGAAGGATCTATCTTTTTTTCTATTATGACCAGTGAATGAACCCAAGCAGTTGGTTGCTCTACTTTTTCTATTATGTCCATGTTAATGAATCTATCTAATTCCTTTTTCAGTTTCTCCCTTAGTACAACGGGAACCTTTCTTGGAGCATGTATGGTGGGAATATTTGGTTCTCTTAATTCTATTTTGTACTCAGTTGAGTTTCCCTATGCCTTGAAACACATCATAAAACTCTTCTTTTATGTTCTTGCTTTCTAGTCCTTTAATGGAATCCATTCTCTTAAACAAACCTAGAGTTTTACATATTCGCAAACCAATAATTGGCGTTAGATTTCTTGGGACTGCTACAAACTGAATTTTTACTATATTACCCTTGTGTCTAACATGCAGTGCACAAACACCCCTGTTTGCAACAATGTTCCCATGGTATGCTCTAAGTTTCACTTCCTTATTCTCATAGTACACAAGTTTAGTTTTCATTTTTTTGAATAATGTATTCTGGTATTACATTGACCTGTGCCCCTGTATCTAATCTAAAAGTTACCATTAGTCCATCAGTGTCCAGGTTGATTCTCTAATCCTCAGAACAATGAACTTCTTCTTGCATTGTACCAATGAGGAATTCTTCCTTTTCCTCATTGCATAGAGCATGCACCTGCTGTTTCTTGTGTGGGGCATCCTGTTCCTTTCTGCAAACTCTTGCAAAATGATTGAATCTTCTGCACTTGTTGCAGTGCTTACCAAATGCAGGGCATTGCATGGGTTTGTGGTAATCCCCACAGAATCTGCAGCTGACCACTGTTTCTTCAAGCAATTCTCTTCTGCTTGATTCTTCTGCAAGGATTCTGCTTGCCTGCTTCATAGTGAGGTACTCCTTTCTGTACTGTTTGTATATTGCCTTAGGTCTTTGCAGTCTTGCAGTCCTGTCTAGTTCAGCTTGTTCTGCCTTTTCCTCCAGTTTCTGCAGCCTGGCATTTGTTATCTCAGCCACGTGGTACATTCTAACTGCCTTTTCCAAATTAAGCTCAGGATCCTCTAGCAGTCTTTTCCTGAGGCTTATATCCCTTATACTTAATACTATTTGGTCTCTGACCATGGACTCTTTTAGGTCTCCGAAGTTGCATGTGTGGCTCAGTGGTCTGAGGTCTTTGACAAACTCCTCTACTGTCTCTCATTCTTTCTGCTGTCTCATGTGGAAATTATACTGTTCAAAGGTTTAATTTTGTTGGGGTATACAATATTCCTCAAATGTTTTTATTATTGTGCCATAGCTTTTCTGTTCTGCTTCTGAAAGTTGTAGGCTATTATAAAGAGACAGCTTCTGGATCTGCTATATTTAAAAAAAAATATCTACCTTGAATGGAATCTTCATTCTCTGTAGCTCCATGGACTGTCATAAATATGGTGATGTTCTACCTAAATTTCTTCCAGTTTTCTGCTGCATTGCTGGACAGCTTTAACTCCTTGGGAATTCTGAGATGCTCCATTTTTGTCTTTCTTTGCACCCCACTACTGGTAGCATATATTATTCTCAAAAGAACAAGGAGCTAAACTTAAACAATGATAACGCTCATTTATTCAGAAAGCCTTCTTAGCCTACTGATCTGCTGTTCCCTCCTGCAATTCCCAGGCTGATGTAACAACTTATACATAACACTCTTAAAGGTATCCACACAGCTACTGCACAGTAGTGTCTCAAGTAGACACACCCACTGTGAATAGCAGTAGCCAGTGCCAACAGTTATACCTCTGATCTAAACAAAGCTTGTTAAGAGTGATAAAAGAAATTGTTAAAATAAGTTTTATTCAAAATGAACATATAAAAACTCCTACCCCCAACCCAAAAAAGAAAAAGAAGTTATGGATGAGATTTATACAAATGAGTTAGGTACCCAGTTACATATATGAAGTGCCTTGCGCACACAATTCACATGCAATTATCATGGCTGTGAAAAGAAATGTTATAACTGCAAGTGCAAATGGGCAGGATTATCCGTGTGTGCAGACTTTTTTGATTTGTGAACAAAACTGTAGTAACTGCATACAGAGATTAAGTTCACAATTGTGAACCTATGTGGTTTGAAAATCTGACTTAGAATTGTCATCTGCTTTATCCACATTATATATTTAATTTACCAGAAGTAGTTGCTTATAAAGGATTTCTTTTAAGATAACACACAACAGTCCTAATTCTAACTATGTTGTCAGGACTGTGGAAAAATTTTGGTACAGAAACACATCTCTCTCTTCACATGGAATTCAGTTGTCTTTCCTTTTTGTCAACTATAATCACAACACTTTGGAAACTGGTATAAAAGACACAGGAACTCAGCTCCTCAAGCTCATTCTACAAAACACAATTTCACACTCAATTCTCCTGTAATAAAATCCAGCAGCAAAGCTAGGTGTGGGTGACAGGCACACCAGCTCCAGGTGCCATTTCTGAGGGCATGCAAGAATGCAGCCACCACTGCTGCCATCTTAGCCACTGCCACTGCATAGGGTGCAAAAAGTGCTTGCTACACCTCTGATGAATTCTCTGCAGTCTGATCTGTTATCTTACTTGGCAAGTGAGCATAAGGCAGCATGTGCATAAGGTCCAGAGACTGATGCATTTTATTTGGATTTTCCAGCCATCTTTGCCATTCCTCCTACTATATTATGAGCTCTAATTAAATTATCATTGCAACACAATACATTTGGTCAGGACATGGTTTAGTTTGCCTCTTTCTCCGACTGAAGCATAAGATATATAAATAGTTTCTGTTTATTCTCTGATGTCTCGGTGAGAAAGGAGAGTGAAAGATAAGCTTTTCATCCGGTAGGCAAAAAATATGGTTGGCTTTAATTTGATGTATAGTAAAAGCATCAGACATACTGAATTCAACACTGAACTTCAAAACACAAAGAAGCTGATCTGAAACCAACTAAAATTAATGCAAAGAACCCTATTTACTTCACTAAGCTTTTTATCAGACCTGTATTGTCCATACCATAAAATAAACACGAGATTATCCATAGACACTGAAAGGATTACACGTTGCTGTAATACAGATGCACTGCACTATAACTACGTTGACTATGGTAATGAGACTTTGCCAGGGCAATTTACACAAACATGTTTCAGCTCAAACTTTATATATTTATCATTCACTACAAGTAAAACTCTTTGCCTTTCCTCTTTTTTTCCTCCCATTTTTCAGATATTTGACAATCTCTGTGCATCACAGTAAAACAAGTATGGACTGGTAGAAAATAACTTCCAAATCAGGGCTTTAAAATATAGCTATGCTCAACTTTGCATGCAGATAGAAACATTATCTCTGTGCTCCAAGGACAACAGAAAAAAATCTCTCAGAAAAATCATGAAATAGCTTAGGCACCTTATCTGCAGAGAAGAAAAAAAATAACTTTTATTCACATTTCTTCCCTCCTGCACACAGAACAGAAAAGTTTTCTCTTCACATATAGAGTGTTGTTATAAATTAAAGATAAAAGTTGCTTTTTTCTTTTCTTGGCTGAAAACCATTTTCCTTTATAAGGCTTCTTATTTCTAGGTTTAGCATCTTCCTTTCTGGTTGCAGGCTACAGATTGCTCTCTTCCATAAGTGGTCGCTGGCTCATTGATGTTGATTCTGCTGAAGTCCCCTCTGACAAAACACTTTAGATTGCCTCACAGCAGGCTTTATATTTCAACTTTGCAATCTGTCTGTCATGCTTTAGTAAACCTTTTATTTTCAGATAGCTGCTAGACATTATTATTCTGGCATTTTCTTGCTCATGCATAATAAAAAAAGATGACATGAAATGGGTTAGCTTCTCTTAATTGGACCTATTCTAAATCATAACGTTAAAATGATGAAAGCCTACTTGATGCTCCTGTACTCTTATTTTAATGTAGCTGTTACCTGTGTTTACTCCTCCAGTGAATATCCAGGCTCCAGTTGTCATGGCAGCTTTAATTAGACCTTTCCCAAAGACTTGCTTGAGTTTTGGCTGAAGTTCAAAATTCTGAAGGCCTCCATGCACAGAAATGAGAAGCTTGGGGAGCTCTAGCTGCCACTCTTTGGTCATGAGGTGCAAAAGAAGATCAGGCTTTGTGTCAAAGGACACACGTACATACTGCAGAATTAAGAGTATTGACAAGGGAAAAGGTTGGTTATGAATAGTCCTGTCTGACATTTATTAAGACATTATTTTAAAAAACTCACAATTTTAAAACAAAAATTATGTCTAAAAATACCTTTTATGTTTTTGAAAAGCATAACTACAGTTTGCAATTTGATAACATTTTTCTCCCTCTTGAAAGCTTTTTGAAATAATTAAAAGAATCAGCTTCACAAACTCCCCTGTCAGGTGTAAATAGGCAAATATTATGCATAATTTACACATGAGGAAATTGAAGCACAGAGGTTAAGAGATTTGCTTAGGGCCACAAAGAGGATCCATATCAGAGTTAGGTTTAGTTTACTCCAAACAAATGCATTGGAAAAAAATCTACAGCATTTATAAAACTAGGGCATTCCTCTATTCGAGTTATACTTTCCAAAACAAATAAATAATATGTATACAATATTACAGAAGCATTAAAGTTTACAATGTCCAACACTAAAAAGCTATGGAATTCAACCTTTTATACACACACACACACACACACACACACAAATATATATTTGGGAGGCGTTAGAGGCAGGCAAAAATTGCAAGTGGAATTGATGCAACAGCAGATATATTCACTTGAGTGGATTTAATAAAAGATAAATTATTACTCATTTATTGATCTGTACAGAGTCTCTGTGGGAGATTCATAGGACTTGCAGTAAAGGGGCCAGGGACCTAATATGCCCTGAAATGATAATTATGTCCTTCAAATTCTGGGCTGTTATATATCCCATCCCTAGCCCTACCACCTTACGTTATGTAACCTGCACATCTGGCAGCCCAGTGGTAGCAGTGCTACTCAGAATCTCTGCTGAGCGTGCCACACAATGCTGCTTCTTCTACTTAACGTGCCCCTTCCTTCAGAAGGTCCCTTTCCCATACTTGCATCACCATTTCTGGTGGTGTAAGTTAACATACACAAAACTTGTGCCTGGAGGAGTTCTGTCTGGAGCTCCAATTGTATGAGCATATAGACCTTGAAACGAAAGGAACCATATAGACCTTGACAAGAAAGGAAATCTATTCCACAGACTCTTTAATAGCAGAAAGAGCCATTATGATCAATTAGACTAAACTTTTACAATGAAACAGACCACCAAATTTCACCTAGTATTTCCTGTATAAGGCCCATAACATTTGGTTGAGCCAGTGCATACATAATTACTCCCAGGACAGTTCTGTGTTCCTCTCCTCACCCTCCCATGACATAACTCTCAGGGAACATGATATCCAAACATATTTCAGAAACATATTGTTAATGTTTACCATGTCTGTTCATTATTATTGTTGTTGGATTGATCTGCTATACTTTAAGTCATATGATGCTCTTTCTTTTCCCTCACAGGATGAGAAACTTTTAACAAACTGAGCATGAATGACTAATACCTGCTGTGGCATGCAAATATGATTTAAGCACATAAAGAAAAGCCAGTCCTAACACTTGTGCAAGAGAAATAATAAATCTTCCAGTAGCTGATACCCAAGATATACTGGAGATGGGAGAGCCACATAAAGTGAGCATTGGGCAAGCACATGATATACTGTTAAGTGCATGTATGTACTTTATGGATATCCTTTAGGCTAGGGACAGACATTCAAAAAGCCTGAGTCTGAACAGATTTAATCTTTGCAGGTTAGCAAGCTTGAACCAATTTGGAGGTGGATAGACATTCCCTTTTCATTCCAGAAATGCAGGCACATGCCTGCAGTGACTCAGGCTAGAAGCCGGGGGGCACTAGAGAAGCCCTCCCCAGTGCTGAGCTGGGGGGCGGAGCATGGCCAGGGCCTAGTAGGACACTCTGATTAGGGCGGGGTTCCCCCTCACCCCCCAGCAGCCCAGCAGGGAGTTGATAACACAGTGTTTAAGACCCCTAACTCAGTGTTTATCAGACCATTAAGAAAATGAAAGCTTCTCTCATTAGTTCAAGCTCTTCTTAAACAACTTTTTCCAAGAAAGGAAAGGAGTGATGTTACCAGCTACCTGTTGATTAACTCCAAAAAGCCTTAAACTGACACTGTGCCCTCGGCCTTTGTGTCGTCAGCCACAGCATGGATCGTAGCCAGTATGTGGTCTGCTAGTTAATGCTGAGAGCTGTCTGTGTAAGGCAGATGGGAGGGGGTAATCCCTGTCTGGAGGGAATCCCTACTTCAGCAGGGAGTGGTGGTGGTTGTGGTGGTGGGGAGTATGGGGGAAGGAGCAGGAGGAAGCCAGGCAGATGCTTGCAGTCTCTGCTGGAGCTGCAGCCAGGAAGCAGGGGGGAGGGTGGGGGCAGCCCAGCTCTCTGGAGCAGAGAGCCCTGCCCAGCCCAGAGAGTGTGCCGGGATGCTGGGGGACTCTGATTTAACTTAAACCAGGAAGGGGTCTGGAATAGACATTGAATAAACCAGTTTGATCCAAATTAATTAATTCTGATTACTATACTCAACCAGGTTTATCTCAAACTGGTTTCAGCCATTTTCAAACTGGTTTACATGCACTGAACATCTGTTCTATTACAGGTTTAAAGCAGTTTCTGGTTACTTAAACCAGTTTGTGTGTGATGTCTGTTCCTAGCCTTAATGGCTGGAATTCTTACATTTGCAAAGTGCTTCAGCACAGTGATAAAGTTGAAGTGAATGAACTTTATTAGGAAACAAGGGATGTCAAAGTTATGACACACGGGAGTACTGGGAAGACATGGATATTTATTTCTTGGACCATGCCAGAAGGCAGTCTTGAGCTACAAAAGACTAAAATCATAATTGTGTGACATACTTCAGTAACCATATGCTCCAGGGATCACTAATACTAGGGGGGTAAATAGAAAAACACAGGATTGGGAAGGGACTTCCTGGGCCTTCTGTTTGTAAACAATGACACCCATGTAGTAATTAATGTGTGCCCTGAACATATGATTTTATTTTCCCTATATTAGCATGCAGAGCTACTAGTTGGTAAAAATATCAATCATTTTCTTATCTATCAAGCTCTCGGACTTCCAGGAATGACAATTTCCATTCCGTAATTGCAAGAGTTTGAAGAAATATTTCCTTTTGTCTAAATTTTGTTATCATTAATTTCAACTGATGGCATGTTCTCATACTGTGGGTGAAAATGACTATTCTCCTGGAAAAAAAAATGCAGTTAACTTTATCAGAAGAAATGCGAGTAAACAACATGTGTATGATTCTTCTCAACTATGCTACAGGGAATTTAAATACTCATGGATGAGCTTTACTATTTAGAAGCTTTTTTCTGAGAAAGGCCCAAAGGGCTAAAATGTTGTTTTCTCTACTGCATATGGGAACTGGGAAGCCTTCAATTTTTGTGATTATCCAATTAATTTTACCTCTTATAGAGCACATTTTCAGTTTAGTGTCCCTGGAATAATTCTTTTGTCATCACTTCAGATATAATTTGGTGTATCTGAGAAAATCCTTTTGTCATCATTTCTAAAGCATCCACTAAATTATGAATAAATGCTTTAAAAACCATTTTTGCACATATTAAAAATTCATTTCTTTCAATTTTGCAGTGGAACATTAGGCCTTTTCCTTTTTCTGTTTAAAAATCTCACTGAGTACAGTTGCCATTCTTGGCTTCCTTCACTATGGCTTGCTGAAAAAGAATTTCACATTTACATATGAACCTGAGCTGACCACTGCTCTGCTCCTGAATCTCTTAAACTGATTCCTGCCTGTCAACTCCATAAGTGATTATTTTTAACAGAGGAAAATTCAGTGCTTATGAATGGAACCAGACTGACAGCACCGAAGGTTGCATCCTCTGTGAATCAAGAAAACTTTGAAGAAGAAATATCAAATCTACCACAGCAACCTGCTAATGTGTTTTGCTTCATCACTGACCTATTTCGCTGGAGCTACAGCCTAGTTCAAAGGACTCTTTATGCCCATTTAATCCCTGTCCGGGCTACTGAGACTGTCAACAAACTTGTTACTTAAAGCTTGTTGTGATTATGCTGGTTCCATCTCTTATCAGGCAAGTAGTTTAAGACACAAATTTATTTCTCACTGCCCAATAAAGTCAGTTGCTTACAAAAAGCCCAATCTGAGCTAGAATTGAATTACCCAAAGATAAAGTATACCATAGCTTGAGCTATCATGTTCTCCAAATAAAATGGCTCTATTGCAGTACAGATAATGAAATGCAGTTAGCACTGTGGCTAACTGATTGCTGAGGGCACTAATAATTTGAGGGAGATTCTCAGTGAATAACAGCATTTACAAACTCACCATACAGACCTATTCTGCAGCTGACAGACTTGACTCTTAAGTCTTACATCTTAAAACTCCCCAGATTAGTGTGCTGCATAATATTTTGCAATTTGCAAAGCTGTTTGAGATTTATTCCTTCATTTTCTCATTACTGACAACTGGAGGATATCATGACCCTTCTCCTATGTCAAAAAAGAATTGAAAATTTGTTGTTTTTTCAAACCACATTGGGTCTCAATCTTCAGAACTGTGCTCCTCACAGCAAAAAGCCTCATCTGGCTCAGAGTAGTGTTGAAGTTGAAGAGAAAAATCTCATTAAATCCACAAAAGCAAGATTAGATTCTATTAGTTAATATTCATTTTAACATATTAGGTCCTAATCCAAACCCATATAAGACAATGGGACACTCCCATGTATTTCAATATCTTTTGGACTGAAGGTCTTCGTGAATTTCATTTCCACAAGTTGTTTTATTTTTAATTCTACAATTAGCTGTACCAGTCCTAGAACCCATTGCCTACTTGTTTCATCTAAAAGATTTTCCCCTTGTACCTCTCATTGCACTGATCACTTTTCAGAGATGTTTTGTCAAATTTGAAGTTTTAAAATCTAAAACATGCCTTTACATCTGACTGATGTTTTTAATGAAGTATAACCAAATTTGCCAAATATGAGATGCTTTACTTGCCAACTCTGTTTACCTGCTGCATCGCTACAGTGATACAACAGAATGCGAAAGAACAAA